AAAAAAACCTGGGGCCACCCAGAGCGAGTGGCCGATTTTGCACTACGAAAAATTCGCCCTCGTTCGTATGGTGCCTTTGTTTCAAATCGTCTGGAATCCAGTCCTCCAGTTAAGCTTCTATTTTTTGGATTTCGTTAAACAAAACAAAAAAAATTTGGGTTTTCACTATCATAACTCACTTATAAATCGATTATGTATTTTTTTCTTCACTTTGTATTTAACCTCCTTGATATTTTTTCTGAGCCTTTATCCCTCAAAAACCACTCAAAAAATTTTCACCTTGACTTCGGTTCAATTGGGAGTTAGTATATTCGGGAAACCAGTTCCTGGGGCTTAGTCGTTTTAAACACTACCTTTACTCACTTTATTCACACTACCTGTACAATCGATAACTTGCAGTCGACGGGCAGTTGGTAAACAAACATTGCAATGTTTACAATGCATTGTTAACATTTCTGTTTTGTTTTAATTTTATTTATCACCGCACATAACAAGCACACTACGGTATCGAGGCTTGTCGCGAAACAGGAGTGGAGGATGTGTTAATTTTGTCCAGCCCAACGTAGGCCACCGGCCACGACCCTGATTAAAAAAAAAACAAGTGAATACACGGAGCTAGCCGGGCACTATTTTTTTAGATCCTTGGCATGGAAAATTCCCAAAGGATGGCCGCGCAAGTTTTCCAAAGCGTACAAAGAATTTTCCAACGCCTTCGTGACTCGGCATTTAGTGTACTTTCGGGAAAACTTGGAGTTTCTGCTCTTGTTAAAGTCACTAAGTACGAAGTTCCTCTTATATATTTCCTGTCCAGGTGAGTATCGAACTTCTCGGGCCTTCAGGTTGTAATTTTTCGCTGCTTTCTCGTAGGCCTGATATATCCTTTCTTTTATCTTCTCCCTGTACAGCTGTTGTCAATCGGATCTAGGCATTTGGGCTATCTCTGATTCATTAAGAGCACCCAGCTTGCGAGCTAGCGAGTAATCTTTCCCATGCGTAAACATATCGACGAATTTCCGCGAATGTATCGTATGTTGAAAAATCAAATTTTACAGGAGAAGCTTTTTCTTTATTTTTGTATTTCGGTATTTTTGTACGATTGCATTATTTCCATGCAAATGAAAAAAAAATTGTATGGACATACGATAATTTAGCGCGCACATTGTAACATACGATAAAATTGAAACTTAATTTTTATCGGAACTATAACGCTTTCAGTTATAATATTTCACAGGGTAGTGAGACATTAGGTGCCTAACAATTTTGCATTAAAATCTCAATTTCGAAAAAAAAGCGACATACGATACTTTTGCGGAAATGCGTCGATATGTTGTCCGAACATGGCAAAATATGGAGAATTTCCAATGCTGTTGTGGACAGATGACCTCAATGACGCTTGTATGTCTGCTAAGTGTTCATCCCATCGTGTGTGGTCGTCCTGGATGTTCACTCGAATTGCGGCTAATACAGATTGGTTTACTCTTTCTGAAGCATTGGATTGCGGTGCGTATCTTCCTGTTTTCATATGTGTAAACCCGTACTCTTGCAGCATATTCTCGAATTCCTGGGAGATGAATTGTCTTCCGTTGTCCGTGTGGATAATTTCCGGAACTCCATACTGTGTGAAAATATTTTCTTGCAGGAATCGGATCACAGCTGTCGACGTGGCTTTCGGCATCGCTTTCAACCATACAAATTTGGTAAAGTGGTCTAACACAATGAATAGCATAGTATTTCCTCGGTGGGAGCGCGGATATTTTCCTAGGAAATCGAAGTACAACTTTTAGATAGGTCGATTCGACTGTACTTCCTTTCCCATCATTGGTCGTTTTATCTGTGTTGTATGTTTGTTTTCCTTGCAGTTTTCACAAGCTGCTACGAACTCTCAGACTTGAACCACCATTTTGGGGCAGTAAAACATCTGTTGGAGTCTCGCTAAGGTCTTTCCCATACCTCCATGCATTGCCATGTTGCCGCAGTGAGCTTGCTGGATTAAGGTCGTCGTCAGAGCTTCAGGAACCCATAGTTTCCATTCAAACTCGTCGCTTTCTTCTCTTTTAAATTGTGTCTTCTTGAAGAGAAGTCCTTCTTCGACACGTACGTTCGGAAACTTATCATTTCCCTGCACTTCAATTAACCGCAGTCTTTCCAGATATTCGGGACTTTCAAACTCTGTTGTCTCGAAGTCGAAGAGCTCCATTTCGGCTACCTCATTCGGTCGGGATAACATGTCCGCCTCGACGTTATCCTTGCCTTTTCGGTGTTCGATGTTGAAGTTGAATGCCTGTAACGCCAAAGATCATCGTACCAATCTCCCGTTCAAGTCCTTGAGCGTCATTAGCCATTGCAGGCTAGCGTGATCGGTGACTATGGTGAACGGCATCAACTCCACATACGGACGGAACCTCTCTCTACCTTAACAGCAGCTAAGCACTCTTTTTCGGTTACGCTGTAATTGAGTTGCGCTCCTCTGAGTTTCGCCGAAAAGAAAGCTATTGGTCGGGTGCACAGGTAAGTGCCTTTTTTAGAGTTTCAAATGCCACCGTCGCTTCTTCCGTCCAAATAAATTTTGATTTATTTTTCAAGCAATCAGTGCGGTGCACTAACTCACGAAAAATTTTGGATAAACCTGCGGTACCAGCCAGCCGTTCCTAAGAAACTGCGAAGCTGTCGAGTATTTTTCGGAACCTTGATTTTGTTTATCGCTTCGACTTTCTTTGGATCAGTTCGCAAGGCTTCATCGCCGATGATATATCCCAAATATCGTAAGTATTTAAAACAAAATTTGGATTTTTGCATGCCGATCGTCAAATTGGCTTTCCTTAAACACTCTGCCACTTCTTTCAGCAATCTGCAGTGCTCTTCGAAGGTCTTGGATATCATCAGCAAATCATCGAGGTATACAAATACTCGGCTGCGTAATCGTTGTAGGATCACCTTACCCATCACCCTGCATAATCTCTGCGCCGAATTGCATAGACCGAAAGGCATTCGCCGAAACTGATACAGTGGTCGACCCGGGATTGTAAAAGCCGTTAGAGGACGACTTTTCTCATCCAGCTCCACTTGCCAAAAGGCATGCTTCAGGTCGATGCTGCTGATAAAAATCGTATCATCTACTCGGCTTAGAATCGATTCGATATTCTGCAATGGGTAAGCATTCTTCACAGTCACGGCATTTAGCTTCCTTGCGTCTAAACACAGTCTGTTCTTCCCAGGCTTCTGAACCAACGTGGCCCGATTGTTCCATGGACTTTCACTCAGTTTAATAACTCCTAAGCGCAACATTTCATCCACTTCAGCGAATAATAACTGCTGTTTTGCCGGAGATACTGAGAAAAATCGCTCCTTGACGGGTACTGCGCCTTCAACCAACTGGATCGTGTGTTCTTCTACTCGCGTGAGTCCTAATCCTTCTTTTTCGTACGTTAGAAAACATGCTCTGGCTTCTTCTAGTTTCTCGGCCTGTCCTGATGACAATGTATGAGGTTCTAATGGCTCTCCTTTGGTAGTGATTCCACGCCGAATACTTCTGGTGCCAATTTAAACATTCTCCAAAAATCTATGCCCAAGTATAATTTTTGCTTCAATGATGGACACAGCAGTATTGGTAATCGCTGGGTAATCCCATTATAGGAGATGTTGGGATGGATCTTCCCTATTACTCGGTGCTGTGTACCTCCTGCTAACGTCTTCACTATTTTCAGGCAACCTTCTCCCAGTAAGCTGACGGATGCTCCGGAGTCCTGCAGACCCAAAAGCTCGAGTCCTTCCATCTTGACTTGTGCGAATGGTCTGTTGTCGCCTTTAACTGCAGACATGATGGCGGAACAGATTTTTCGTCGCTGTGTCTTCCGCTGATAATATCTTTTCCTTGCTTTAACTATTTTTGGTTGAAGATCTGGAACTCTGGCTAACACTTGTGTTCCAAATATTCGGTCCCGTGCCTCTTGATATCGTTGTTCTCGTATTTCTATCGGATCGCTTTTGGAAAAGCTTTAAGTATGTATAGGTCTAATTAAATTTATCATTATTCTACTAAAATTATTTATTTTAGATTCTTTACTATCGTCTAACATGCCGTTTTGCGAGGAATCTATTTGTTGTTGGCAAATGGGTTGGAACGTGGCTCCTCGCTCTTGGCCAGGTTCCTTCCACCGTTTCCCGTTCGACATCCTGGGCACTTCGGAAGTACTACATCGGGTAGTCCACATTTATAGCAAAATCTATTACGGACATCAGAGTCGCATTCTACGAACGTATGCCCCCGTTGTCCACAATTCCAGCAGGTGAGTGGCTGCCGTTCCTTGCCGTCTTCTCGATGCTTCTGTAATGCTTCTACCTCCTCCTGTTCCAGTGATGTACTTTCGTCGGCGCTTGGTTCCTGCCCAATCTCCTCGACTCTCGGACGGTCCCTATAAACCCGGTATGGCTCTGGATTGCTCGGATGTCTTGCCCACCGGGTTGCCAGCATCTTCTCCGCGTCGTGACACACTTGACGCAGTTGGTCCAGATTGGTGATATATATTGGATATATAATCTTCGAAACCTTATCCCTAACATTCATTTTAATAACTTTGATCAGGTCGAAGTCCGAAAACGACATCTCCAATCGCGACCTAAGAGCCAACACCGTCTGGATATAAACTTCGATGGTTTCTCCCGGCTTCTGTTTCCGTTTCCGCAGTTCATATTCTCGTTCGAAGTTCGAACGCTGGCTCTGGAATTGCTGCTGCAGGGCGTACCTAAGGCCACTCTGGTCGCTCCATCGACCTCACATACATCCAATACCATTCCTTAGCCTGTCCTTCGACTAATACGTGAAACTCTCTAAGAACTTCCTTCCACGGCACCTGATAAGACTTTTGAAGATGTTCCAACCGAAATATAAACTCGGATACTGGCATACCTTTCGGACTACCATCAAAAGTAACTCCCCATTTCCGTAATTTAACAACTTGTACTAATGGGTCATTTCTATTCCCGTTCCCCAAACGCGGATCATGCCCAGAATAATTGCCATTTGGCATTCTGCTTTGGCCGGACGGAGGTTCCTGATATGCTGCTCGCGACCAGTGAACTTGACGACCGCTTTCTTCCTCCGGCTGGTCGATGTTCAGGGACAACTGATTCGACTGAATCTGTTCCTGCGTTATCGCCGGTCTCAACAATCCTTCCCAGTTTCGGTCGCTCCTCTGTTGGTCAGACGGTGGCCCTTGTGGTGGAAAATGCACTCCCCCAGGAAGACGTGGGACTGGTACCATGCCTGGTGCTTGTTTTTATGGCATCCTACGATCGACTGGCTGACTCGGGTTCGGCTGCTGAACTTTTTGCTTTATCGGTGGAACGCCAGAAGTCGGCTGCTGCTGAGCTTGACCCGGACGGCTCTGACCCGATGTTCGCTATGCTGCGTTTTCTTTCATAACTTCTCGCCGCCACTCCGACATGCAGTCGTTTATGTCTTTCATAAATTGCATCATGTCCTGCTGCATCTGATGCTTGAATGCCTCGTACTCCATGGACATTCCCATCTGGTAAGTCTGGTGTGCTTACTCCTTATTTCATATGGCAGATTTTTCGGGATTGCACCTGTTCCGTCCGTAGGTTGATATCCGCTCGCCTCACCAGGACTCTCATCTTGTATTCCCGGAGGAATATGATCTGACGACGACTCCATGCCTTCAGGACGAGATGTGTTTTCCAGTTGTTCTTCTCGGTTGGACTTTGGTCGAGTTATTGGCGGACTCATACCCACTGGTCCTCTGTTTTTAATGAACTCTAAGCTTCTCCTTATCTTTCTGCCGATTTTTATCTTCTCCTTCTCAATACTTTGCATATCCTATTTGCCTCCTCAATTTTCTATATTCAATTTATTATTTTCTAAATTCTGTTTCTTAAATTTTCCTTAATCTAGGGGGTGAGATTTGTTCTATATTATTCCCACTAATTTTTCCCTCAAATTATATACCTGCTCCGAATCCGTTGTGCAAAATTTAAATTACTGGCAAACTTCTTTTACTCATCTACTAATTGAAATATTTTTCTTTCAGGATCCGTTTGCATATTTAACGGGCAACGATGTCACGACTAAAATTTATCGTACATGGACCACATTAGGGGGTTATATACCTTTTTTATTTTCAAAAAATCGAACATTTTTTTATTGCTTTATCTTAAAAAACAACTCCTTGAGAACATTTTCCCAAATTTTCAGAGAGATTCGAGCAGTAGAAAAAAAGTTACAGCGCTCCTAACCGCGCGCCTCGTCGCGGCCCGCAACTGAACATGAAACTTTAAACGCGAATATCTCGAAATGGTGTTTCTTGATAAATCACTTTGCGGTGATAAGCATTGGCGGAAAACTACTGAACCGATTTACTTCAAATTTTTTTTCAAATGTTCGTAATGAAATTATCTTGTGCTTGAACGATCGACTTTTCACGCACAAACTTTTTTTTTCGCCGAAATGAATATTTTAGTGAAATTTTTAGAGACCAAAAAGTTCATTTTTAGCATAAAACGTTCCCATATGCATAAAAAAAAATTTTAAAACCGATCGTTCAAGCACAAGGAATTACACTAAACTAATGAAATTTTTTTACTTTTATGGTTTCGGTTGACCTGTTCGACCTGGGGAATTATCACCGCAAGGCTCTTCAAAAAAAAGGCCTCTAAGGGAAACAGCCACCCCTTAAAAACTATTTAATATTTTTCCACGAAATTTTGGACAAACATTGTTAATAAAGTGTTCTATCAAAAAATTAAAACATCCGTGTAATTAAATAATGGCTACATACATAAAAAAAAAAATCCGAACTTTCCTCTTTTTCTTCGACAAAGAAGGTATATAACCCCTTATATCATTAGCATACAACGGACAACTAAATTAGATATGTGAGTAAGTTTTTTCATGCTTCGGTAGATTACACTTTTAAAAATTAAATACAGTAGAATCCTGTTATAACGACTCCGCTTATAGTGTCCGTCCGGGTTGTGCGACGAAAACTCCATGGTTTGGTTGGTCCCCATACAAACTTATATCAAAGGGCCTCCGCTTAGAGCGTTTCCGCTTTTAGCGGTTTGTCGCTTATACGAACAAAATTTTTTAAGAAAATTGAAAAATTTTACCGGATATTGCGTCGTGCAAAAATAAATACATTGCAATAGTGCCAAATTTGAGCATCAAAACACGCTGTTAGAAATGTATGTATTTATTAGTGATCGGCACCTTTGCTTGTGTGCGTAGCAGCGACACGAAGGATCTTACACTGTCACTACTCTTTGTTAGTTTTAGCTGTCGCCTTAACAACGTTGCTGCGAGAGAGAGAGTCGAAGTGCAATGCCGACGTCACACTGCGTGTGCAGACCTCATAGCCTATTGCATGAGATGTCCCGTTATAATTATAATTTTTACTGCTTTTTTTCTGAGTAAAACTGAATTCGTAAATTCGCCAAATGCAAAATGTGCAATAATAAAGAGCTCATTCAGTTTTTATACCCTTGCAGAGCAAAAGGGTATTATAATTTCAGTCAGAAGTTTGCAACGCAGTGAAGGAGACACCTCAGACCCCATAAAGTATATATATTCTTGATCAGCATCACCATCTGAATCGAAATATGTATGTACGTCTGTCCGTCTGTCCGTCTGTCCATCTGTCCGTCTGTCCGTTTCCGCGCAAACTAGTCTCTCAGTTTTAAAGCTATCGTGCTGAAACTTTCCCAAAAGTTGTGTAGTTGTTGCACGCAGTATATAAGTCGGAACGAGCCGGATCGGCCGACTATATCGGATAGCTCCAATACAAGAGAATGAAATTAAAAATTCTCACTCTGTTGTTTTTGATCAGATCGACTTGAATTCTTCAAGATGGCGTTTTCTAACTGTTATTGAATTTCGGATTAAATTTAAACAAAATCGGATAACTCTATCATATAGCTGCCATAGGAGAGATCAAAAAATATATATAGAATTAATGGAAATAAATTGATAGCATCGTTGTTTTTTATCCCACGAGCATGATTTTTTGAATATCAAGTTTTTTAACAACCCTTTTATTGAGAAAAAAGTTTCATTAAAATCGGACAACTATATCTTATAGCTGCCATAGGAAAGATCGAAAAATCTATATAGAATTAACGGAAATAAAATTATAACATCGTTGGTTTTTATTTGATAAGCATGATTTTTGAAATTTAAAGTTTTCTAACGACTCTTGAATTACGAATTAAATTTGATGAAAATCGGACAACTATATCATATATGTAGCTCCCATATGATCTATAGTCGAAAATATTGAAAATGAATAGAAAAATCGTCTTAGCTTCGATGTTGTTTAGCCTTTATGTATTTTTTTCGACATATTTGATGACTGCAAGGGTATATAAGCTTCGGCTTGCCGAAGCTAGCTTCCTTTCTTGTTTGTATTATGAGAAACCCTTGCTTTTAAATTAAATTTACTAATTTTTTCGTTTTAATTACAAAACTAATTTGATTTATTTTAAATACCTATACCGAAGACGGCAACCATAAATAAACAAAAAAAAATGTTTTTTTGTTCCTTTTGCTTAGTGCGTCTTCCGGGTATAACGACGAAAAATCGTCGTTTTAATACTGTATGTATTAAAATTTAAAATCGATATCTCAAACAATTTTAGAGTTATAACAATTTAAAGAGCAGCTGCTCTCATAACAGTACAAACGATCATTTATCTTTAAACGCTTTTTTCTCGGAGCAGCATTTTTCGAATTTGCTGCAGTGACTACTCAAAAACTAATGTTCCGATCACTATCAAATTTTTTTACATATTCTATATATAGTTCTCCATACCATGAACTATCGTTTTTTTTATCCGATCAAAAATCTAATTTTGGCAGGCCAAAAACGACCAAAATTTTTGGTTAAATTCGATTTTTTTTTTTTTAAACGCCGCCAGAACGGGCCGGATCGGGCGACTATATAGGATAGCTCCCATACGAGAGTTTGAAATAAAAAATTCTTACTCCGTTGTTTTCTAACTGCTATTGAACTTCGGATAAAATTTTATCAAAATCGGATAACTCTATCATATAGCTGCCATAGAAGAGATAAAAAAATATGTATACAGTAGAATCCGCTTATAGCGACTTTCAAGGGACCAACGAGTTTTCGTCGTTATACCCGGAAGACGCACTAAGCAAAAGGATATAAGTGTATAAGTCTGTCTGGGGACCAATCAAGCCATCGAGTTTTCGTCGCAATACCCGTACGGAAACTATAAGCGGAGTCGTTATAACAGGATTCTACTGTATGTACATATGCAACGTAGTAAAAAAATATTCATACACGTACATACATAAAATATAAATGTGGGGGAGATTTTAGTTTCCAGGGCGCCAAGATTTGAGGACATATTTTGGGTAATTGGCCCAAAATAAACACTTTTTAATAAATAAAATTTTTTTGGATTTCTCGCACCGTTTACAAGATATCGAGCCTTAAATTTCCGATTAGATTGAGGGCTGGTATCGGGCGAAAATACTTATTGCACATATTTTTCGTGGAACTTTCAATATTTGCGTTACTTTTGGCCGAAGACAGACACTTAAATTTTTTTTTCAGTTTTTAGCGCGCGCGGACTTATGCATTGATACATATGCTAAATTATTTTTTGAAGTAATTGTTATAAAAAAAATTTCCGCCTATAACGGTGCGAGATATTGAAAAATTTTGTTTATTAAAAAGTGTTTATTTTGGGCCAATTACCCAAAATATGTCCTCAAATCTTGGCTCCCCGAAAACTAAAATCTCCCCTAGCGCGGAAATGTATGACGTTCATGTAAGAGTTTTCCGCTGATTTTCGAGTAAATTTCCATTTTCCAAGGTAAAAATAATTATAGCTGAAGTCAAAATTCCGGTAAAGTTGCACTTTAGCGGCTTCTGCTAAAAATGGCCTAGGAATTTTTTTTTTGTAAAAATGGGTTCCTTGGGGCCTAAACATTAATAAAAAAGTGGCGGAAACCGTAAATTTTAATTATTTATTTATAAAAATACCAAAAAAAGAACATGAAAATTCATACACTTTTGTGGCACTTAATTTATTCTCCGTCCCTGAAAAAGGGCTACCTTGGTCCAAAAACATTCATAAAAGAGTATTGTAAAGCGTAATTTGTATTTATTTATTAAAATAAAAACAAAATAAAAACTTAACAATTCAAATTCAAAAAAAAAAAAAAATAAACTTAACAATTCAAATTCAAAAAAAAAAAAACTTAAGAATTCAAATAAAAAAAATAAAATTAACATAAGAATTCAAATTAAAATAAAAACAAAATAAACATAACAATTCAAACATTTTTTGGCCATGAATTAATCCTCGTCCGCGTTTTCTTCTAGGTCCAAAAGCTCGAATTCCGCGAGATGTTCGGAATTCGGAATATTAATCCTGGGATTATATGGATTGTACAGGTCAGCAATGGCGCAAAAATTCCGTGTATTCTGGTTTTTCGAAGGTGGTATGCTCTTTTGAAAATATACTCCGCCAAGTAGCCTTCGAAATGCTTATCCACTCTTCCATACTTGGGGACAGCGCTTCGTACGTCTCGCCATGTGCGTTCTATATTTTGGGTACTTTGGCCAGTATTCGGATCAACAAAATTTTTGGAGTGGTTGACCGTACTGTGCGTGTACTCCAAATTATCGCAAGCACTGAGAGCATTATAGGCTGCCCAACAGTCACTAACAATGTGGGTTTTTGGGGCAATTTTCTCTTTGATTATTTTTATTAAAGTTTCCGCCTTTCTATCAGGCACCGGGATTAAAAAGATGTTTTTGCTTCCCCTTTCGAAACCACCAAAAATCCACTGTCCTTCGATGACTCTTCCCCGATTATACTTTCTTTTGCCAAATTTGGCTTCGTCTATCTCCACCACTTTTCCTTCACCACCAAGTTTGCCTTCATGGCTGTTCAGTGCCAAATCAAAAAAAACTTCTCTTAAAAAATTTGACCAGTCCACGACTGTATGTTCGGCAATGCTAATTTCGTCCATCAGCAACTCCGTATGTGGGGGAGGAGTCATTACGAAATAAGCTACGAATCGACTGATTTGTTTATGAGTTAAATGTGATCCGGCAAAAAAAGTATTTTTGTTCACGGACTCCTTAAAATTACATTTAACTTTTTTTTGTTTTTTGTCACAAATTTTTGGCAGCGGAATTCCATTTTGTCCATCGCAAAATTAGCTTCTTTTTGCAGCTATTGCAAATTTGGGATTTCCGCAGCAACAAATGGTTTTCCAAAAATTTGCGAAGCTTTTCCGGATCTTCACTAAGAATTATGAAATCACTCAGTGTCATTTCACAACCGTTACAGCGTTGTAGATTTAAATTTTCCGCGTCCGACATGGTCAAATTCTTCTGTTGCTTTGTTTCTTTACCTATGCATTTGTAGAACTTTTCGTCCACAAAAGTTTTTTCCTGGTAAAGTGTTTCTCGTGAAAAGCATGACAATGTTTTAAAAACCGTTGTTCTCGCGGCAGTGATAAATGCTACTCTTACATAGAAATAATTAATAATCACGCTATACGTTACTCCCCAACGGACGAGTTTTGAATTCATGGCCAAAAAATGTTTGAATTGTTATGTTTATTTTGTTTTTATTTTAATTTGAATTCTTATGTTAATTTAATTTTTTTTTAATTTGAATTCTTATGTTAATTTAATATTTTTTTTAATTTGAATTCTTATGTTAATTTTATTTTTTTTATTTGCAATCTTATGTTAATTTTATTTTTTTTATTTGAATTCTTATGTTAATTTTATTTTTTTTATTTGAATTCTTAAGTTTTTTTTTTTTTTGAATTTGAATTGTTAAGTTTATTTTTTTTTTTTTTTGAATTTGAATTGTTAAGTTTTTATTTTGTTTTTATTTTAATAAATAAATACAAATTACGCTTTACAATACTCTTTTATGAATGTTTTTGGACCAAGGTAACCCTTTTTCAGGGACGGAGAATAAATTAAGTGCCACAAAAGTGTTTGAATTTTCATGTTCTTTTTTTGGTATTTTTATAAATAAATAATTAAAATTTACGGTTTCCGCCACTTTTTTATTAATGTTTAGGCCCCAAGGAACCCATTTTTACCAAAAAAAAAATTCCTAGGCCATTTTTAGCAGAAGCCGCTAAAGTGCAACTTTACCAAAATTCCGAAGTATTACCAAAATAATATAGCATATGTATCAATGCATAAGTGCGCGCCAATTTTTCTAAATAAAAAAATTTTTTCCAGTGTAACGGCCGCACTATTAGCCGACATTTAAGGCTCGATATCTCGTAAACGGTGCGAGATATCGAAAAATTTTGTTTATTAAAAAGTGTTTATTTTGGGCCAATTACCCAAAATATGTCCTCAAATCTGGGCGCCCGGAAACTAAAATCGTGCCTAAATGTGTATTTTTTATAAAACTAACTTTACCAGAAGTGAACACATTTTGAAGCAGCAACTCACAGTCTCCGTAACACATAAATGGGTAAACAGAATAAGCATACTGCTTGTAAAGAAAACAGTGTAGGACGGTATTAATATTTCGATGTTTAAACTGACGCATAGTAAGCATATCATTGCACATCGTTGTTAAATCTTCCGTAGGTTGATCCAAACATATTTTTTTTATAGCTAAACACTTATTTGAAAAATTTGCTTTGTAGACCGTTTTGAATTTCCCATATTTATGTATTTCTAGCAATTTATAGTTATGAATATTACTGCTGAACGTCATAACAATTGGAGCTGATAAACAATTATCAAAACAAAAACATATCGATCAGGCGATAAAAGAAAAAACAAGAATCCTTTAAATAACCAAAGCAAAATATATATCATTTCAGCTAAAGCGATTTAAAATATTCGATTTCGATAATTGTTTACAAGCTAGGTCCACGGTGTGAACAGCGTAAAAAAAGTAACATAAATATTAAAAGCAATTCAAGATGTGATTGTTACTATAAATTCGGACGCGCGTCACCGTATTATCAATATTCCGCTAGTGATGTGGTGATTAGTGCAGTCGTCTGGTATCGGATTATTGCAAATACGTTCACGCGGGACCGAATTTCTAGTACCAATCGCATCTTTTACTGTTTATAACAAAAAAAACGTTGATAAACAGGCAGGCTCCGGTTCTCACTTTCACAAGATTCTCACGTTTTCGTTTTCAAAAACGAGAATTGGTGCTCCCGTGTTCACTTTCACAAGACTTTTTCGTTTTCAAAAACGGTCAAGTTTTTTTTGTCGAAATGAAAAGTAAATGCCTTTTTCTACATCAAATCGGTCCTTAATTGCAAAAGGAAATAAAAAATTGACTCCTTGGTCTATTGATGTTCATTTCACACCATCAGTAGATCAGTCTAATTCGTATTTATTTTTTAAATAATTTTTTTCTGAACCCATCATGATTTCATAAATAAAATATTTGCCGTCGGAACAACAACTTTCGTTTTGCTAAGGGGTCGATAAATCTATTGCCAAAAGTTATCGTCAATGCTGCCGTACTTGTAGTGGAACAAAGCAACCACTTTAACATTCTTATAAAATGAAAACGAAGAAAAAAGATGTCTCGATATTCTCAAATCAATCAATTTCTGCCTTCTTTTGGGTTCGAAACAGGCAATTGAATATGTAAAAGGCATTTTTTTCGCGTTGTTTACTTTTAATTAAAAAAACAAGTCAGCTGTTTGAACAGTGAGAAACGATGAAAAAAAAGAAACTTTCCGATAACGAAACAAAAAAAAAAGTGAAAACCGGAGCCTGCCTGATACTTTCACAACACATCATTTGCGTATATTACTCTGTTACTACGTGGAACGCACTCTTCATCAATTACCCTAAAATTTCTCATGAACTAATATTAAAAACCTATGCATTTTAAGGTTTAAAAAAATTTTTTTTTTTTTTTTTTAAAATTTTTTTTCTGAATGACCAATGTGTCGAGAACATTGTGTAAAAAGTTTGAGTCAATTAAAGTCAAACTAATAGCGTTTTAAACAACCGTATTTGGACGTATTTTCACGTATAAAAATACTTTGAATCGATTTTGCCGAAGACGGTATTTTGAAAGTCGGTGAACATCAGAACTCGAAATCTACTGAACCGATCCTTTTCAAATTTTTATCACAAATTCTCAACATGAATACGCAGGTCATCAGGGAGAGTTTTTTTTAATTTTTAATTTTTTTCTATTTTTAAAAAATAAATTAACCACGATTTTTAAAGCTAAAATCGCACTTTTCACTTTCAAGTGCTCCAAAAAATAGACAAAAAATAAATTTAAAAAAAACTCTTCCTGATTACCTCGGGAAATTCATTATCTTTACAACGCATATCACATTTAATTTTTAAGATGATCCGTTAACGTCCTATGATGTTCACCGCAAAACAACTTTTTCTTTGGGCGCTTCGAAAGATTAACCGCCACAGACTTATTTCTTAATATTTTTTAATAATTTTTTTTCTAATACTCTTCAAAAGTTAAACAATAACATGTAATTTAGCTCAAAAAAATAAACTTACTCATTTCGCCGCAAAAAAAAATCAAACATGGCCCTTTTTTTGGCCTTTAAAACCTTACCAACAGTAAAAATATTTAATACCGACAATAATAAAATTAATTGAATTGCATTTTTGCATATTTAGCGATTAGAATTGGAGCAAAGTTGAATTATTTTTTGTTTCCCTTTTCTTTATCTAAGTTAAATTTTCTGATTGTTGGGTCAGTAAGCTTTTTTACTAACCGCTACCTTGTGCCCAAGTAAATAAAAACGCACATTTTAGATTTAAATTGCACTTATTTATTACTGGCACCAAGGCCTTAAATTCACAGAGTTATTGTTTGTTGGTTTGAATTAGGCAGGCAGACCGAATTGTCTGTGCCTTTTTCTCAGCGAAAAGGTATTGTAGCAGGCAGACCGATTTGTCTGTGCCTTTAGCGAAAGTATATAGACGCGAGAGATTTTAGCAAGCGATCAGCGTTCGTGCCTTCTTGTAAGCGAGTACGAATTGAATTAAACATGAAGCTTGCCGTGGACTAAGGCCAGGAAGCGATAAGCGAAAGAGTGCAAAATGGGAGTTAGCAATGACAATTAAACAGTGTTGCCGCGCAGGGCAAATAGCAAAACAAAGCAAACATCAAGAGTTTAGTTTTACGTTACGATTTGAATATAATCATTAGATTTAGGGTGCATGACCGAACACTGATCTCTGGTTTCGATTAATAAAATTAAGATTTAATTTAGAGTAAGAATTTTTCAGCACCTTCTGGTCTCGTTTTTAAGTTACGAAGGCCTGATCGAAGCTTTCAATTGTCCTGCACAGCTTCTCCAAGAACGACTCTATAGCAATCTTAGTAACTTCTGATCTACTTAGTGGGTACCGATATGAATTGAAAATCTACTTGAAATATTTTGTGTAGTTGAATGAAATTGCAAATTCATTTATTCGCTAAGTGCCATACAGCTCGTTATCCCCGCTTGCTGATGTCGCTGACCGCAATCGACCACAGAACAAAGCCGAATGTGCTAAATTTTCAGCATCTGGTATACAACGCATGTATGTACGAATATTCTGCCCTCTAAATTGCTTGCGAAAAATAACTTAAAGTTCATTTTAAGTTTATGTGATTTTTGTGTGTTTCAAAATGTGCAAAATATAAAGTAAGCGTCCACAGTGAAAGAAAAAATTTTATTTCGAAGTGTTCTGCCAAAAATTTCCCACTTATATTAGGTTGTCAAAAAAGTCTTGCGGTATTTTCGCTAGTTGGCGCTGAAAGGGTGTAGTTCTTGTTTTATTCGCATCAGGTCATACTATACCGTTTTGGAAAGCTCATTTCACGCGCTAACACGTGTTTGATTGATTTAAGTCGTTCGTTAGTTATAGCGTCGCATTCATAGAGCAAAATAAAGAGAAAATACGGCGTATTTTACAGTACTACTACGATAAAGGAAAAAATGCATCTCAAGCCGCCAATAAAATTTGTGCAGTTTATGGACCCGATACTGTTTCTATTTCCACCGCACAACGATGGTTTCAACGTTTTCGTTCTGGTGCCGAGGTGGTCGATGATGCGCCACGCTCTGGAAGGGCTGTCGTCGAAAAGTGCGATAAAATCGCTGAATTAGTCGAAAGAGACCAGCATAGTAGCAGCCGTAGCATCGGTCAAGAGCCATCAAACCGTTATTAACCATTTAAAGAAGCTTGGAGTCACTAAGAAGCTCGATGTATGGGTGCCACACGAATTGACGCGAAAAAACATCTTTTACCGTATCGACGCATGCGAATCGCTTCTAAATCGCAACAAAATCGACCCGTTTTTGAAGAGTATGGTGACTGGCGATGAAAAGTGGGTCACTTACGATAACGTAAGGCGCAAACGGTCGTGGTCGAAAAGCGGTGAAGCGGCCCAGACGGTGGCCAAGCCTGGATTGACGGCCAGGAAGGTTCTTCTGTGTGTTTGGTGGGATTGGCAGGGAATAATCCACTAAGAGCTGCTCCCCTATGGCCAAACGCTCAATTCGGACCTGTACTGCCAACAACTGGACCGCTTGAAGACAGCACTCATCCAGAAGAGGCCATCTTTGATCAACAGAGGCCGAATTGTCTTCCACCAGGACAACGCCAGGCCACACACATCTTTAGTGACGCGCCAGAAGTTCCGGGAGCTCAGATGGGAGGTTCTTTTGCATCCACCGTATAGTCCGGATCTCGCACCAAGTGATTACCACCTGTTGCTGTCCATGGCGAACGCGCTTGGTAGTCTGAAGTTGGCCACAAGAGAGTCCTGTGAAAATTGACTCTCCGAGTTTTTTGCCAATAGGGAAGCGAGCTTCTATGAGAAGGGTATTATGAAGTTGGCATCTCGTTGGGAACGCGTCATCGAACAAAACGGCGCATATTTGACTTGAATAAGCATTATTGTAACCAATTTTATGAACAATTGAAAATTCAATAAAAATACCGTAAGACTTTTTTGACAACCTAATATATAGGCAGTCTCTGCTAATCCCTTGCCGGCTGCGATCCGTGACGCCTCTCTCGACTGCTCTGCCCACAAATGGTTTTGTCCATGGTCCATCTCTGTCGCGGTTTAGTTGCTTTGTTCTGCTGCGGCCTCTGTCTCTGTCCCTGCCTGCTTAGCCTCACTTGTTGCTTACTTCCTATTGGAAGTATTACCGTCGCCTGTCGCTTTGGTCCCTGTAGCTTGTCTGTCCGTCTGTTCTATACTTCCTGAGGGGTTTTCTAATCTAAAGAGAGCAAAACGTGCGTCCGTAGTTGCCATTTTTTTTTCAAAACTGTACAGATGAGGGGTTTTAACGAATATCACGAATATATATATGTGTAAATACATATATATATATGTAAATAATGGGATTATTATCAATAGTTTATTTGGATAGATATGTGGATAATAGTTTGCAAAAATGTTGATTATAATGATAAAAAGGGTTGAGACAACAATTTAGCAACTGATTGGCGCAACTTGACAACTTTTACAACTTCACGGCCGACTTTTTGCACGCTCTCTGCTTTTTTTTGCTGATCCAAGACTCGCTTCTACTTTATGAGTGTTGGGCTATCGCTGAAGACTGTTGAAAGAAGTCTCATATCGATATGAATAAGGAGTGCCAACTTCTACTATTGTCATTACTTCACATTCGGCCATCCTGCAAAACATCTGTCCCAGATGCCTCCGCTTCCTCGTCGCTCAGGTCATCATCAGGTCAGTCATCTTCTTCTAAATGAGCATAGCGCCACAGCTTCATGAAATCAGCGCTAGTAGATGTATGTAATGGACCCTCAAAGTCGGCTGCCTTCTTGACGTCGTATCTGCTGTTGCGTTTTACCTGAATGACTTCATATGGACCAATGTATTTTTTGGCCAACTTTCTTCCGGCTATAAACTGGGTCATCTTGATGGCTACTAGATCTCCCAGCTGGAAACCATGATGATTCTTTCTCTTCTTGTCGTAATTTTTCTTGTAGTTGTCTTGAGCTTTTTTGATTTGTAATCTAGCTTCCTGCCAGATTTGATTGCGTTCGTCTTGCAAGTTTACCAGCATCTCATCTTGAAGGATCCTCAAAAGCTCAGGACTGGAGTTGTTTCTCATACGTTTGCCAAACATAACTTCAAAAGGCGTGAAACTAGTTGAAGCGTGGACGTGTGCGTTTATGGCCTGCTGCACTTGCAATGTGTACTTACACCACTTTGCTGGCTCTGCTGCTGACATCTTTGAGAGAACTGAAATGATAACTCTGTTGACCCGTTCGATCTGGCCATTGCCCCTTGGCACACCTGCAGTCGTCTCGATGTGGTCGGTCCTGTTGTTGCTGCAAAATTCTTTAAAAGAGTGAGATGTAAACGCAGCTCCCTTATCGCTTATAATTCTGTGAGGACTGCCGAATATTGTAACCCAAGATTCCAAGTGTTTGATAACTTCTTCTGCGCCGGTCGACTTAGTAAGAAATATCCAAGTATATTTCGAAAAGCCATCTATTACAGCAAAGATATATTTGTAGCTCTTCGACGTCATGTCCGATACAGTTTGAAATTACCTGCTTTACTTTTTTCTCCAAGTGAGGTATGTAAAATCCTGCTGGATTGCATGTATCGTCTTTTGCGTCCCCATGTGGCCAAAGTTGTGTGAGTTTGTTATTATCTCTTTCTCCATGCATTTTGGTACCGCCAAAAGATCTTGTCCTCTTACTTGCTTGTAAATTATACTGTTTTTGACAACATAATCTGCATAAGGATTCTGCTTTAATAATTCCCTGACAGCTATTAGGTGTTCATCATTCTGCTGCGCCTTTTTGATCTGTGTGTGAACTTCTGATGTTACGATCATCACAGGAAAACGACTCAGACTATCGACATGTTGCATTCTGGTTCCTGCGCGATGCTCTGCATTGAAGATAAAGTCTTGTAGGTACATCAACCACGGCGTAACTTCTCGAGGGATATCTTTTTTGGAAATCGTCTGCTTAAATGCCGCACAATCTGTTACCAAGTCGAACTGTACACCCAACAGGTAATGTCGAAGTCTCTTCGTTGCTAAGTACGCTGCTTTTACCTCAAGTACGTAACTGGTCAACTTTTCCTCTTGTGGCGTTGTTTTCTTACTCCAGTAGAAAACGGGGTGCCACTTGCCATCATTCTGCTGCAGCAATGTTCCTCCGAATCCATGTTTCGATGCATCTACATGCAATTGTGTTTTAGCGCTCTGGCTCCAAATCTTTTTGACTGGTTCTTCTTGTAATGCTGCTCTGAGTTGTTCTACTGCTTGCTTCTGTGCTCCTTCTATCTTGAAAACGGCATCCTTTTTCAACAGCTCTGTTAAGGGTTTAGCAATAAAAGCGTAATTTTTAATAAATTTGCGGAAGTATCCAGTTAACCCAAGAAATGCTTGTATGCCTCTGATATTTACCGGCATCGGGAAATGTTTAACTGCTTTAACTTTCTCTTTACCAGGCCATATCTGCCCATTCTCTACCTCGTAGCCTAGAAAATTGATACGGTCCTTTAAAAAGTGGCATTTTGACCATTTTATGTCAAGGCCGTACTGCTGTGCTTGTTTCAGTACTCGCTCCATGTTGCTTAGACATTCCTGCGCTGTTCGTCCAAAAACAACAATGTCGTCTATTTCCATTTCCATAATATTTTCATTGATCAGCTGTTGAAAAATATATGTGACATACCTTACGAATGCTGTATATTTGCGACTGGGTTCATCTATTTCGACGTGAAAAAACCGTTCTTGAGGTCGAAGACTGAAAAATACTTCGCACCTTGCATCTTGTCAAACACTTTGTCTATGAGTGGAACTGGAAATCGGTCCTTTAATACCATTGTATTCAAAATACGGTAGTCTATGGACAGCCGATATGATTTATCCTTTTTCTTTGCTAGCACAACTTTACTTGCCACGTCCGAGCTGTATTCACGTATAATGCCCTGCTGCAACCATTCTTCGACCTGTTTGCGAATAATTTCTCGCTCTGCAGCTGATGATCGGCTTGGATGCTCCCTGAATGCAATGTTGTTACAATTCGGAATTATTGTCATTTTAACAGGACATGATTTTTCCACTTTCGATGGCTAGTAGTTATCAATCAAATGCTCGACTGCGGGCTTGTATTTTGGAGGTACGTCTAACTCTGTAGCACGACTTACCACGTTGTAAACATTACGGTCAGTCTCAACTTCGACAACGTCATCTCCTCCTGTAAATGCGTATTTTCCATTCTCCAGTACAACAGTAAATTTCTTCAGAAAATCAAAGCCAATAATAACGTTGACATTCACTTTGTTATCAGGCACTATGAGAAACCTGTGCTGACTAGAAATTCCATCCACCTCCACTTTCGCATACAACGCACCCAACACTGAAGTCGCAATGTTTCCGAGTCCGTACAATTTAGCGAAACTTTTTTGGGTTTTCAGCAAAATTGTTTTTGTATGTCCTCATACGCATAAGAGATACGTCTACTCCAGTGTCAACTAAACAGGACACACTTTTGTTGTTGATCATGAGCATTTTCTCCCTTGATTCGCTGATCACACTGATACTCGGTCCCTTTCCTGGACAATTTCGCGACGTATGTCCACTGCCATTACACTTAAAACATTTAGTTTCCTTCTTGCATTCGGCTCTCATATGCTCGGGTGAGCCGCAGTTGAAGCAATGCCTTTGATTCTAAGATGACTGCTGCTCGGATCGCCTTCCTTGTGTTCCTGGCTTTCTGAAGTCAATCTGCTGCATTGCTTGCTTTCACCCCATTGTTGATTTGGTCATCGCTTCGATCGTTTCAAACCGACTACGTAGCTCCTTGAAAGTTGAGTCACTGTAAAGAGGGTATTTAAGATCATCACGAAGCTTTAATCCATCTGCCATGTAACGAATCACCGACTCATCTTCAACTACTCCAAGAGCTGCTATCTTACGCATATGCAATACGTATTCGTGAAAACTTTCGTTATCATTTTTCTTACGATCTTTTAGCTGCTTGTGTATCTCAGCGCTGGTCAGCGTTCTGTCAAATTCGTCCAAAAGTACAGCAGTTAAGTTATTATAATCTGAAACGGTGGTGGACTCCAAAAATAACTTAGCTGTTCCCTTCATTTTTATCCGAGCGTTCACATATTTCTGCTTGTTCGTCAACTCGTAGGCATCGGCGTTTTCATCAAAACATTTTAGCCACTGTCTTATTGGGATTGAAACTCTATCGAACTCGGGCACCACTTTAGCGAAACTCTCGATCGAAACCATATTCCTATTGGAATCGCTTTGTCCAATTTTCGTTGCAAGCAGTTTGAGCACCTCGCTTAACTCGTTGCTGCACATCTCTTCGCGCATAGCTGTGAATTTCAACTCGTTGCACATTTCGGCCTCTTCATTCACCTCCCTCTCGTTTTGCTCCTCCTTTTAGTTTTGCTCATCTATTTCTTGCGACGAGACAAAAGTTTTGTTCAAATCCAAATTCGCGATTTCGGCGTTTTGCGGACTTTTTTGCCCATATTGCTGTCCATTTCGGGTTTTATTTTGATTCTGATTTTTGTTCTTCTTCGCTGAACGCATCATTATTGCGACTTTATAAATTCAACTGCAGCTGTTTTTTATTTCAATTTTCTTCCGATTTCGCTCGACGCTTACGCAAACCACTATGATTTTTGCTCTTTTAACTTTTGGCACGGTTGAGCCCCCATGTGAGATAATGGGATTATTATCGATAGTTTATTTGGATAGATATGTGGATAAATGTTTACAAAAATGTTGATTATAATGATAAAAAGGGTTGAGACAACAATTTAGCAACAGATTGGCGCAACTTGACAACTTTTACAACTTTACGGCCGACTTTTTGCACGCTCTCTGTTTCTTTTGCTGATCCAAGACTCGCTTCTACTTTATGAGTGTTGGGCTATCGCTGAAGACTGTTGAAAGAAGTCTCATATCGATATGAATAAGGACTGCCAACTTCTACTACTGCCATTACTTCACATATATATATATATATATATATATAGGTATATATATATATTTTTGGCTGAAGCTAGTTTTTTTTTTGTTGTTGTTATTTTGAATTGAATTGAAGTTGAAATATTAAATTAAAGTTTGGAGTCTAGTGTAAGTTAGTTTAGGGCGAAGGCGGGAGCGCAATAAAGCTTTCGTTCGCTCTTTGCGAGTTCGCTCCGTCTTCGCCAACCTTCGGTAAGCTAGGCTTAAGTATGATTTTGGAGAAATAGATTACACTGTGCGACAAAAAAATGTTTAAGTTGATTTTTTCTTATTATTCACTTCTACTAGTCAAAATAAGAATATAAGTTTTTGGATTTGTTAATATCAATAGCCAATCAGCTTCTACGCACACTCAAATGTCCCAAAAACGCGCGTTTTTGCATATTTCACAGCCTTATAATCACATATTGGGAAAATATTTTTTCATCGTTATAAGCGTTTTATGCAAGTTCAATATCTATTAATTAAAATGTATTAACCAAATATACCGTTAGGCTTTTATAACAATGCTTTAAAATTTTTTTCTCCCAGCTCTATACTCTGGGCGACTAAGTATGGAACTTGTAACGCGAGGATACCTCTGAAAAAGCCAAAAAAAAAATCTGGAAAAAAATTCACTTTAAAAAAAAATAATAGTTTATTGGAAGTAAAAAAAAAAAACCTGGAAAAAAATTCACTTTAAAAAAAATAAAAAAAAAAAAATATTTTGTGTTAATTATTTTCATAATAATAATTTCATAAAATTTATCATAAAAAAAGAAATCCTATCACTTATAAGGTGGCATAGATATTTTTGTGCATAATTTATGCATCTTAACCGAAAACAATCAAAAAAGTAACTTAAACAAACATTTCGTTAAATTTTGTCGCACAGTGTTATTCGTAAAAATTGATCTGAGTCGAGCGCACTCCTTTTTTCTCGTTTTCGTTTTTTGCCAAATAAAGTTAATTAGCTACCCCAAGTTTTCGGTGAATTAAATATTTAGAAAAACGCTTCTAAATTTTCATATATATGTAATATAGTTTTTATTAAGAAAGATATTAATATTATAATTGTGTGTTTCACGTGCTCTTTTAATGTTCTTTTAATTTGACAACTTTTTGCGACCGACAACTTTTTTCGACTTTACAACTTTACGACTTGACAACTTGATGACTTCGACTTGACTGTGTGGTTCTCTTCTCCCATTATCCGTTTTCCTTTCCGCTGTGTGGGGTTGCCAACCTGATCGCAACCAACTCTTCCTTACATTCGGTCATCCTGGCTACTGGAGTCTGTCCCAGACGACAGGCAATCCTCATTCCAATTGGCGTATTTCCATAATTTCATATTAATATTTGGCCCTTCCACTCGCGCAGCTTTCCTAACATTGTACCGGCCATTTCTTTTAATCTTTGTGACTTCGTACGGTCCAAGAAAGGTACAGGCGAGTTTTTTCCCAGCAACGAATTGGGTACGTTTTATTGCGACTAAATCGCCTTCTTTGTAGATGTTTTCTATCTTCCTGTGTTTATCATAGTTGGCTTTATAATTTGCCTGTGCCTTCTGGATCTCTATTTTGGCTGCTTCGCGTTCTTTTGCTCTTTCGTTGTCGAAGTCATTCAACAACTCTTGTTCTAGAATTGCCACCAGATTATCGCTGACTTTATTCTGCATTTTAACCCCGAACATTAGTTGAAACGGTGTTTTCTTAGTCGAGCAGTGAACATGTGAGTTAATGGCGCGCTGGACTTGCGCCACAAACTTATACCACTTAGAGGTATCCTCAGCGGACAGTTTCGAGATCATGGAAATAATGCATCTGTTCACCCGTTCAATCTGTCCATTACCGCGAGCCACACCAGTCGTCGTCCACACATGTTCAATTCCGTTTTCCTTCACAAAGTTGGTGAATAGGTTGGAGGTGAAAGCAACTCCTCTGTCGCTAACAATGCGGGATGGATACCCGAAAACAGCTGACCAGTCTGTAAGACTTCTTAAGACTTCCTCGCAGTTAGTGGTTTTAGTTGTGAACAGCCATACAAATTTGCTGAAAGCATCAACAACGGCAAAAATAAACTTGTACTGTTTGCTGGTTGCATCCATAGGTCCCAAGTGATCTATGTGGAGCGTGTGCAGTGGGTAGTCTCCAATGCAGTACAACTGACCTTCCTGTTTTCCCAGCTTTTTGTTGCATATAATGCAGTTTATGCAAGACTTAATAATTTTTGCAACCTTGCTTTCTATGTGCGAGATCCAAAACTGTTGGCGCAATGAGTGTAACGTCTTTTGCATCGGAAAATGTCCCATGTTATGTGCACCAGATATTATTTCGTGTTCCATTGATTTTGGCACGACCAGCAAATCATTTCCATCCACATGCTTGAACAAAATATTCCCTTTCAGCTTGAAATCTTTATAGGGGCGAGATTTCAAAAGTTCTATAATAGACTCGATGAATTCATCCTTTTGCTGAGCTTTCTCGATGCGAGCAGAAATCTCCGAGGTGATGTTGAAGACGTCTTGAGGATAGCGGCTGAGGCTGTCAACATGCTTCATTCTATCGGCAGTTCGATGTTCTACTTGGAACTCGAAGTCTTGTAACTGCAGTATCCACTGAGCGACTTCGCGGGGCACGTCCTTTTTCTGCACTGTCATAGAGAAGGCGGCGCAATCTGTGACCAATTTAAATGAAACACCTAAGAGGTAATGCCGAAACTTGTTAAGAGCGAGGTACGCAGCTTTTACTTCCAATATGTAGCTGTGTCGTTTGGCATCTGCTTCGGATGTCCTCTTGCTCTAAAAAGCGACTGGATGCAGCTCTTCGTCAACCTTCTGCATAAGCACAGCACCGAAACCATCTTTTGAATCGTCTGTGTGGAGCTCTGATTGGGCCTCTCTGCGGTATAGACGTAAGACTGGTTCTGTAGACAGAATATCCTTCAGCTGGTTCATTGCATTTTTTTCCGAAGCCTCGAATTTAAACTCTGCGCCTTTCTTTAAAAGGTCCGTCAATGGTCGTGCGATGTTGACATAGCCCTCGACAAACTTTCGGAAAAATCCTGTGAGACCCAAAAAGACTGAACGCCCTTTATGTTTTTCGGATAGGCAAATTTTTTAACGGCTTTAGTTTTTTCTTCTCCTGGCCAAATTTTGGCTTCGCTTACAGTGTGTCCCAAGAAGTCCCTTTGAAGAAAATTACATTTTTCCCATTTTATCTTTAAGTCGTATTTAGCAGCTTCGTG